CACAAACAGCTTCTTGCAATGTCAGTACCTGTTTAGGGGAAGCTATATATGATTTTTGGTAAATATTTTTTTTTCTCGGTTGTTTGTTGGGCTATCTTATTGAAACTTCGGCAGTGTGTGATGGAAAGATATTTCTTAATGTACACCAAAAATGAAAGAAATCAGACGATAAATAACGGAGTTCACTTCTTAGCCATTAGACTTCCTTTAACTCTTAAAAAAGAAAAACTGTTTACAGTGAATGGTTCGTACGGGTCTAGAACGGACTTGTGCAATGTTAGTTTTCTCTGTTGTTCAAGGTTTTCTCAGTGTTATTCGAGGTGTTCACATTTAGTTTGCTACATTACACTATTCATTCTATGGTATAATTAACTATTTTTGTGCTTAAAAATCTTAAAAAAACAAATTATTTACATACAGTTCGTAGGGGTCTGGAATGGATTAATCATATTTACATACAATCCAATGGGGAAATTAGGTTCAGGTCACTGCCAAATTGGGTCGTGACCAGAGTTTTGGAACGAGTTATGGTCATGACCAGAGGTTCCACTCTACTGGGGTCAGATTGAGCGATCATTCTAATGACAGATTTTTGTTGAGTTATGATTGGTTTTAGATGAAATGCTGTTGCCATTCCTCATGTACATGCATCATAGGTGAGGTAAGGATAGATTAAATAGTTTAGGGTAATTAGTACGTACATGTATTGGGTGTGATACATAGTAGCATGTACTTGAATATCCATTGCTTTAGGAACTTTTTTTTTTTAGATATGTGTTGTATGCATTATTAAATTTAAGATTGCTGTTAAGATGAATATCCCCAAAAATTTCCCCTCATCTTGTTTGTCAGTGTGCTCAATGTATTTGAACCGGCTATCCAGTTTACACTAGAAGAAGAGTCCAGTGACAAGCTACCTTTTCTAGACATCCTCATTCACAAAGTAGATAACAATCTAAGATTTCAAGTTTACTGTAAACCTACCAACAAAAATGATCTCGCCCACTTCTATTCCAGTCAAGATACTAAGACCAAAAGAGGCATCACCATCAGATTTTTCCTAAGAGCATACAGTATTTGTAATCCTGAGTTTCTTGACAAGGAATGTACTTACACCAAACCTTCACTGATATACATTTTCCTTCCTTTTCATCAAAGACTGCAAGAAAAGAGCTCCTCAGATAATCAGTTCTCCATGCACCAACACCACTCCTAACAGTTATAATCCTTCCCAACATATGGGAATCTTTATTGAAGAAACTTTTCGCCACACAGTGGCTTCATCGGTCCAATACAAAGTAGAAATGGGTAAGGAGAGGAGGAGTTTGAGGTAATCAGTCCCTCAGCCTGGATTCGATGTGTTCAGTACATCACTCTTGTAGGAAGTACAGCATAGGGCCAGAGAGGTGGCTTATATACTGCAGTCAGGTGAGTCGAAGCAGGAGGAGGCGGGATCACAGTGGGACCTGGCACTAGTGTAAGTAGGTCGTCGTCCAAAGGTTGGACAAGCGTTGAAATCTTTGTACCAAGATCCCATGATGTTCCAGGCTGAGGGACTGATTACCTCAAACTCCTCCTCTCCTTACACCTTTCTACTTTGTATTGGACTGATGAAGCCACTGTGTGGCAAAACATTTCTTCAATAAAGATTCCTATATATTGCATAAGTGTCTCAGTTCTTCAACTTGTCAGTTTTCAAAAACCATTCATCACAATCCTTCCCAACAGCCAGGTTGCATTGAACGTTTCTAAGGTACTGGCACAAACTAACACTAGAGTCACCATCGCATCCAGCACTTCCATAGGGGATCTAACCAGGACAGAAACGAACCACCACGAACCAGTCAATGCAGGAGTTTACGCTATACCTTGTGGAGGTTGCGACAGAATAAATGTAGGTGAAACAGCAAGGAACCTTGAAACATGTGGAACGATAACTTGAATGGTGCCTGCGTACAACACCGAAGTTCCACCAATCGCCTCATGAAATTCAATGACACCCGACTGGTGATCAGAGAACCTAATTTCTGCAGACGTAAATGCCTTGAATCATCATTAATTGCTGTTTCTAACACAATCAAGCAAAAAAAGGCAGCTTCATCATCTCTGAAGTATTAGCAAAAATCCTCCTCAAAACAATAAACCCTGTCATCATGTAGTCTCTGCTGCTAATACTACACAAGAACATAACAGAAGAGGAACACTGAAACAGACCTTCTCAAATCCAACCACTAACCAAAATATTTGTCTAACCTATTTTTATGCTACCCAAGTAATAGCTTTTACAACCTTTTACTCGTGTGCAAATTGATTCTTCTACCATAATGTATTACTACTGCTGCCACAACTAATATTACTACTACTACTACCACTAGTATTACACCTCACTCTAAGCCTGTATATACTCTCTGTGTCCGTGTATTGTTTGTAACAGCTTGATAAAGCTCCTGGAGAGCAAAACATTGTCACAATAAAATGTCACTTTAGTTGCACTTGTTCTTTTACCTAACAGTGTGCATATTATTTATTTTTATTTAGTTGTATATTTATAGCTTGATTCCCAGACATTATACAGTATAGCAGGTCTTACCAATATTGAGTGTTAGTTCTATTCAAGTAGATAAATTTTTTCTAGCTTGACATCGACTATGTTATCAAAGTCAGTTGGATATGGATTGATGACTACAAAGGAAATGACATCTACAAGCAAAATTGGCTTAAGTTTTTGAGATGTATTGAGTAAGAAAGTGATGTAAATAAGAAATTAGTGGTCCCATGACACTGCCTTGTCATAGCCCTATGTTGCTGGGTTGTGATGTCATTTATAGTTACCTGTTAGAATCTGTCATTTAGTTAAGACATCGTAAAGGAGAATGTATGGCCAGTTATTACGTAATGTTCTAGTATAAGAAATAGGATGATATGAGTTACTGTATCAAAACCTTTTCTTAAATCACTGAAGAGGCCTATTGGATATTCATTGTTTCACTGACTTAGGCCTCACAGCAGACCATGTGCATTTTTTTTTTTTTTACACAAATCAGTTTTACAGGCTAAGAGCTGTTATCTTGCCTCAGCTGATTTCAATGCCTAACCCTATTTAACCCTTTCAGGGTTGGTGCCATACTAGTACGGCTTTCACACCAGGGTTGGTGCCGTACTAGTACACATAAATTATAGCGCCTTCAAATCTAGCGAGAGAAAGCTGGTAGGCCTACATATGAAAGAATGGGTCTATGTGGTCAGTGTGCACAATATAAAAAAAAATCCTGCTGCACATAGTGCATAATGAGAAAAAAAAAACTCCAACCGTGTTTTTGGTTTATAACAGCTATTTTGCAGTGTATTTTCGTATGCTATTTATGGTTGTATTCTAGTTTGGTTTTCTTGGTCTCATTTTATAGAATGGAAGACATATTATGGAAATTGAGATGATTTTGATTGGTTTCACAATGAAAAGTACCTTGAAATTGAGCTCAAATTAGCAGAAATGTTCGATTTTTGCCAAAGTTCAAAAGTAAACAAATCATGCCATGCATCTAATACATGTCAACTGGTGAGTTTAATATTCTTTCACAAGTGCACTGGTATTATTTATACCATTTCTACACTAATGCAGTAGTCTGCATAACAGTAAATCTTCAATTTTTTGTCAGAATAAAAATTCAAAGTGGAAAGCAAAAGAAATGTAACAGAGGCCTTGGGACGTGAATAATGAACAGAGGAAATGTTATTTTAGTGCCAGAAATGTCTCTTGTTTATTCTGGACCCTATTTGGAAATTGGCATCTTCTGAAATTTGAGTGAAATTGGCAAAATTGCCAAATTCTGACCACTTTATTGGATAGTTGAGTTCAGTAAATGGGTGATTTCTTGTACTCAATCGATAGAAAAAATGGAGTTCTAGTGAAATAGTTATGATTTTTGTCGACTGGTACATTGGAATTGGCCGAAAATAGGGCTCAGTGGGCAAAATCGCCGATGCATAAACATTGCTGAGACCAGTAACTTCGTGAGAGCATAATTCCATAAGTTTTCCATCAAATTTCATTCTTTTGGTGTCATTATGATCGGGAAAAGATTCTCTATCATTTCATAAGTTTTTTTTTTTTTTTTGAAAAATTTCTGACCCTGAGAACAAGTTTGAGAGGGCCTGCCAACCCTGAAAGGGTTAAGGGTTACTACTACCCCAAAAGATGCAACCCACACCTACAACAGTTGACAACTTACTGTTCAGTGAACAGGGGTAGCATGTAAGGAAATATGCCCAACATTTTCACCTGTGCCAGGGACTGAACCATGGACATCGGACATTCAGTGTACGAGCTGAGTGTGCTGACGACCCAATCACGGGATACCCTCTTCAGTGCTTTAGGTTTTCATGAAGCCTCCTTCAGCAAAAATTCTTGTGTGTAGCCTGAATAAAGCATATATTGTACCTACTGAGGAGCAGAAACCATTCTTATTCCAGATTGTACCAGAACATGAAAAAAGTTTTGCAGATTCACAGAACTTATCTCTTGTTTCACTTTTTTTATAGATTTAAAATTATTTTAGGCTGCTTTATTACCTCTGTTGGTTGACAAATTATTTTCTTAAAATTTCTGGTTACAGTAAAACACATTAAAAAATATATATTTTACTAGGATGTGCATAGTTTGCTAATACCACTGAGTATATTACAGCAATTATTGACTGCTCTTATGCACAAGTAAATATTTATTTTTTACTTAAAATTCTGAAGTTCTTGTTTTTCATATCAAATTTGAAACATTACAAGGTTGAGAGCTTGCATTTTGTGACATGTCCAAAATAAATAACATCCTAATACAGGTGATGAAAATGGTTGTGAAGCAATTTTTCATATTTTTAGCATACCATACCATACCAATCATATTGCAAAAAAAGTTCTACTGTTGTGGTATGGCATTGAGTTGCAATAAATATTTTTGTACATAAAGAAATTTACATACTTTGTTTATGATATTGTGTTTTATTCAGCAAAATGGGATATCAGCTGCAGACATCAAAAAGTTGGAGGAGGCTGGTTACTATACTGTTGAGGCTGTGGCTTTTGCCCCAAAAAAGGCTCTTCTTGGCATCAAGGGAGTCAGCGAAGCTAAAGCAGATAAAATATTGGCAGAAGCTTCTAAACTAGTACCAATGGGCTTTACAACTGCAACAGAATTTCATCAGAAACGTGCAGATTTGGTTCAGGTAAGTTCTATTGATGTTCTGGGAGATGACATTGAGATAATTACTCCCTTTATTTGTTTTTTATGGCATCATTGTTGAAGGATGTTTGGCTACTTTTTCTTTATTTTTTCATTGCTTTCCATCACTAGGGCTTTTTATTTGACTCTCATTTTATTTAAGCAAATTTAATACTGTATATTACAAGGTTTTAAAAAATAAATCCTATAACACATTTTTAAATAATGGTCTAGTGATCCATTAAGAATGCAACCGACCTGTAGTCAAGCATCTACTAGTCTATGTACACTAGTAGTAATGACTAACTCACATTTTTCTGTTCAGTTTACCTTTTTTTTGTGTGTGTTTTTTTGTTTTACTCTGCAACCAGGATGTATCAAGTGGCACTTACCTTGTATCTCTAATTGCCGACTAGTGTAGAACAGCTAATGGGAGGTGGCAGCAGCCTCTGGATTGCCAGGCAGTTATGTAGAAATTCATTTTTCATGTATTACAACATTGTATTCTACACTCATGAAATCATAATAACATGATTACAAACAAACCATGGTACAGGTGGGGTTAGAACCCATGGCAAGTGAATCGTAAAAGTCCAGGCCAGTGTGTAAATCACTTGGCCAGCTGGCTACAATAAGATTCATCCAATTAGATGTATTTATACACCATAGGAGGCTAGCATGGGCCCACTATGACCACAAATGCAAGTCTTAATAGATGATTCTCCTGCCAGCATGGCTGTGGTGAACTCCAGCTCAAGTCCCCTCAAAACTGCCATCATACTCATGAAATTACAATAACATGATTGTAAACAAACCACGGTATGGGTATAATATACTTAATTGGATGAATCTTATTGTAGCTAGCTGGCAGAGTGGCTTACGCACTGGCCTGGAGTTTTATAACTCACTTGCCGTGGCTTCAAACTCCACCCGTTCCGTGGTATGTATTCTACAGTGGGATTTTAGTGATCCATTAAGATCTCTCTCCATTACCCCAATTTATAGTGGAAGCAGCCATCACACAAGTGGTAACTCAGTGTCATGTCAAAAAAACAAAAAGAACTTGGAACCAGTACTCGCTTATATGTGGTTGCAGGGGTTGAATCTTAGTTCCTAGCCTTACCTTTTAATTTGCCTCTTGCCAGATTTACTCCCTCCTAGCCTTGCAGGCCCTGTTGTGCCTATTCTTAAACCTGTGTATGGAGTCTGCCTATACCATTCCATAATTGTGGTAATTAAACTCAAGTTCTTTAGCCTTTCCTCATAGCTCATACCCCTTAGCTCTGGAACCAGTCTCATTGTATATCTCTGCATTATTTCCAGTTTCTTAACATGCATCCTCTGGTGTGGGTCCCCTACTGGTACTGCATACTCCAAGATGGACCTGACATGCATATTGGCCTGGATATTACTGTACAGGATCTCTTACTGAGGGCCCCAAATGAAACTTCAATCAGAACTAGGAATTGGTTGAAACCAGTCCCTGTTGTACAGAAATACCCTATACATTGCATACAAATAACAAACACACAAACAAAAAAACAATAAGCAGCCTTGTGCAGTCTCAATCCCCAGAGAGGGAACAACTAGACATTGGTGAAGAGCTCCAAAGTCTAAGAAGTAATCTTTAGGAATACCTGCCTTGATCCTGAATAAGAAACAAAAGTGTTTTATTTCAGAAGGAGCCTTACTGAAATCTCAGGTAGAAGACCCCAGTTACTAAGGGAGTCCTACTTAAATAACATTGGTGAAAATCAATTTGGTTATTAGTTACATGCTCTCCAGAAGGAGTACCAATGGGACTTGAGTTGCCAAAGCCAGTGAACCAGAAACTACCTGGTGACCCAGGAACAGACTTTGGGAGTATTCATGCTCTGGTTGAAAGAAGCTGGAGGGATGAAGTGGGTGTCATGAGGTAGGTGCAGAGTTTAGAGAAAGGGAGGTAGGAAGAGACTAGCCTGCCTTAGGTATGTGGCTACAGGACAGGCAGGGATAAATAGTTCCTGAATAACCATACAAGAAGTAACTGGAACGTCTAGGCATCCTCTGAATTGATATATTTCCAACTAAGCTCTGCAGAATTATGAGCTCTTTACTTGCCTGTCATGAGCAGGAAACAAAGCTTAAGTATGAAGCTCACCCTTGAAACTGCACATGGCTCCCTGACCTCTTGGGAAAATACTAATGGAGACTGTCATATGGGCAAAGAATACCTGGACAACTAATTGAGAAGGAATAGGATTCTGTGTGCTATTCTTATGCA